TACGTTCATCCTCATGCATTCAGGGCAGCATCTGAATACATTACAATGCTCCCCTGTGTGGGGAAAAAGGCTTCCTTGAACACAGAGGACTAGCGTGCTCCTCATGAACATGAAATCTCTCACATGGTCTGGTTTACACTTGGTCCACAAATGCAACTCCACTTGCTCTGGTTACCTGGCGGGGAGGGGAGGGGAAGGTTTTTTTTTAGCATACTTAGCTCAATATCACAAAACCCACCAACGTTATTGATTGATTTAGATATTTCTACCTTGCTTTTCTCTCCCCCCTCCCTCGGAACACAAATTAACTTTGTGTAAAGCAGCTTCAGAGGGGAGCTGTGCTGGACTGAAGTAGAACACTGAGCTTTGAGCACAGCTGTGCTTCGACTCTCGAAAGCCCTCCTTGGTCTCTAAGGTACTGCTGCACTCGAATCTAAATGTTCAAGCAGCATTGGATTCTAATTGCGCACTTAAGGAACCCTTAATACCCAGGTAGGGCCCCTTTAGAATCCCTCACGTGCACCCTGTACAGGGACAGCTCTCCAACCAAGCCCTGCAGGTGACTCCTGGGGGCAGCAAATTGAGAAGATGCTGCAGGGGCTCGGCTGGCTCCTACCCATCAGCGGCATGAGAGCTGACCAGCATTCCTTCCTGGGCCTGGACGGCCACAAGGCTTGGCCAGCAGGAGAAGAGGGGGTATATCTTCTTTGGCCCCCCAAAATGCCTTGCACTAGCCATTATCTTGATGGGCTGGCTAGGAAAGCCACATACAGAAAAAGGGGGTCACGGTTCACACTATCCCTGTATCACAATGTAGACTCACGCAACAGAAATCCCCCCCTGCGTTGCATGCTGCTTTCATTTCCTTTTATCTTCGGGTTTTATGGTATCTTCCACATGCCATGCCACTTTCGCTTTCTTTGATCATCGGATTTTATTGTACCTTCTGCATAGATTTGTGGCCCTTTCATGGCCGTTCAGGGGTGACCTTGCAGTCCGTACAGCATTCGAGGTATCTGAATGTGGTTTTGAGCGGCACCTTTTTCTTCCCAGTTGAGAAAATGTGGAGTGAATGCTAGATGTAGAATCGCCCTACCCTCCGCTCCGGGGCAAAGACCAACACAGGAGATACAAGAGCAAATCATATCAGAGGTTGCCAGGAGAGATGGAAATTTCTAAGAACGGATCCATTTAGATAGGTATGTCATCTTGACAGTTCTATCTAGAGTATCTGGACTAGATAGATCTATCCAAACTAGCATTTTCTTTCCGGCTGAAGCCTATCAGATATCATCATTTTTGTTTATTTAAGAGATGACTTATCGCATGCTCTTCCCGAGGCAGTTGCCAATGAGAATGAAATTGAACCATGCTCCTAAATCACTAATAACAAACATCCATCTAAAAATGCAACTAAATCTGGTGGTTAAGACTAGGGCTGCGTAAATCTGACTTTTGTGTTTCTTTATGTATGCTGTTGTCATCAGAATTGCTTTCATTTGCCCATTCCGGGAGCTGACATTACCGATGGGTTTGTTCGTTTTATGACATTTGGACATGTTTTTATGCCGTTTATATGCAGACATGTTAACCGTTATATAAACCACATGGGGAATTTTATACCAAAGGAAACAGACAATAGCACAGAAATAAAGCCTTACAGATCGGGTTTGCAAAAAGGGGAAGCAAAACCGAAACGGGATTTTTCGAGGAAAGGTAAATGGCTGGCGACGAATGGCTCGAAATCACCCGTAGTAAATGAAAATCATCAATCTAAAAGTTAAAAAAGTGTAAAGGAACCCCAGTGGGTATCAGCTACATAACAGACAAAAAACCCCACCAAAACAAAAAGAAAACTCAGCAAAGAAAAACATGGGAGCTAGGAGGTCATTTGATTTGGTGCCAGGTGAAGGATTCCAAGGAGAGTGTCCCATAAACTAGGTGCCACGACACAAAAGGCACTGCCTTTGGTAGGCATCTACCTCACCTCATGCAGGGAGCCTGTCCTCTGATGAAAACTGTTGCTAGGGTACTGGAGATACGAGAAGTTCCCAAGCAGGACATGAAGCTGATGATTCTTACCGTTTGTCTCGAGCATTTAGTATTCAAAGGTATATTGCCACTGAACATGGAGGTTCCATTTAACTATCATGACTAAGGCCCCGGTCACACGGGCCGGAAAATGCGGGGGGGAAGCGTGGCTGTTTGCCCCGGAGCAAAATAACGTGCGACCGCCCGATCACATGTCCCGTCGAGGTCCTGTGGTTAGGGCGTGAGGTGCTGGCAGCAATGCTATCCTGCATCACGGCAAAGAAGCGGCACGGCACAATCACAGCAGCAATCGCCAGGTGCCACTTCTGTGGCAAACGGGAATATTTTTTTTCTCACCAAAAGGTGAGCAGGCGCATGATCATTTGTGCGCATCCTGTGAAGACTTGGGGGAAAAAACTAACCGGTTTGCGACGGGACTAGGACGCGACGGGATCAGACACCCGCCCTTGCCCCGCGTTTTCCAGAAACTATTACATCGTAAGTACTAGTTTTTTACTCCGTATCCTCGGCACAAAGCCATGGGTTAGCCACGGGTTCACTATACTTCCCAGATGTTGCGGTGTGATCGCGCCCGGAAAATCCACCTATCATCCGTATCTTTAGCACGGCAAATGCTCCGTGTGAACGGGGCCTAAGAGTCACAGACAGACCTCCACGAATTCGTTTTTTCAAAAACTGTCACCTCTGGTAAGGAAAACCTCCATCATTAGACGCAGTATATCTTTGAGAACCAGATGCTAAGGACACAACAGGGAGAGGTTCCCCAGAGGCTTCTTTCTAAAGGGAGCAACAAATTCCAGAGGGGTAGCCATGTTCAGTAGCTTTAGCAAAACAAAAAGGAGTACACAGGCACTTTAAAGTCGAACTGGTTTATGGTGACAGAAGCTTTTGTGGGCTCAAATACACTTATGTGCAACAGAATCACCTGCCCCACAGTGGAGGCTGAATAAAAGGAACCCAACTTCCTCTCCAGGAAACAGGCCAGTGAACACAGCTTGCCATCATCAGGGCTGTAATAGGACAAGAGGGTTCAACAATCCCCAGAATTCCTTGAGAGAAAGCTGGGACAGGTAAACTAGTTTTAGTCTTCAGTGTAGACATTTACAACAGGCAGGAAGGCAACGAAGCCAGCTTCTAACTGCAAGGGGCAGCTCTCAGGAATGTGGCTATACGGGCCTGTTGCCAGAGCGATGCGTAGCGTCACATCCTGGCGACGGCGGTGCAACGCGTATCGCTGTCCCCCGCGGCAGGGATCCTGTGAAGACGAGCGGATCCCCCGCCGCGGCTTGGCAGCCCTAATGGATCGAGGCCTTGGCACCAGGATGAAAGGTTTAATTCTCGACCCCTATTATTTACCTAATTAGAAATACAACCCTTTCCCAGGCATCTCCAGAAAAAATAGTAGCCCCGCTCCCACAAAAATAAGGAAATCTGATATTGATGTAAAGAACAATGCCTGTTTTTTTGCATCTAAATGCTGTTGTTTGATGTATAAATGCTAAGTAAAAATGGTGTAAACCAAGGGGACCCAACCTTTTTAAGCCTGCAGGCACCTTTGGAATTCTGACCGAGGGTGGTGGGTTCAGCCACAAAATGGCTGCCGCAGGACGAGGTGGGAGACACAAAATGGCTGCCATGGCTTACCTTAAGAACATAAGAAGAGCCCTGCTGGACTTACAGTCTACATTCTGTCTCACACAGTGGTCAACCAGTTCCTCTGGAGGTCCAGCAACAGGCCAGGGAGCCCGATGTTGCCTCATGGCTCTGGGAATCAGAGGATTAGTGCATCTGAATGTGGAGGTTCCCCTCAGCCACCATGGCTAGTAGCCATTGATAGACGTATCCTCCATGAATCCTATCTAGTCCCCTTTTAAAGCTGCTTATTCCTGTGGCCATCATAGGGTTGCCAGGTCCCCCCCCCCGGTGTGCAGGGGATCCCCCGGTTCCCAGGGCTCCTCCCAGCACCAGCCAGCTGGCCAGCGGGGCAAAATTAACACACACACACACACCCAAAAAAACAGGCAAGAAGCCGGAAGTAAATGCGATGTGTCAGCATCACTCAGAAGTGACGTAGGCATGTCTGTGATGTTGGGGGGGGGAGTGACGCTCTGTTTTTTGGGCAAAACTCTGTGGCAGAATTAGCTTCAAACGATAGAGCTTTACTCAAAAACCAGAGCATCACCAACCCCACATCACTGACGTGCCTTCGTCACATCTGGGTGACGTAGGCATGTCGCACTTACTTCCGGCTCCATTGTTCCAGCTCCCGGTTAAGTCTCCCCATCCCGTGATGGCCTAGGGTTGCCTGCCCGTGAGTCTTAGGGGCCTGGCTTAGGAGTCCACATAGTCATAACATTGTCCAAACAGCCTTTGCAAAGACGCCCATTCTAAATACTTGGAAGATGCGTTTCCTTCGACTTCTTCAGTTTGCCGCCTGTGTAAGTGGAACCTGATTTCAGCAATTTCAACAAACCACAAGGTTCCTAGTGTAAGAAGCGAATCATAGGTTCTCCTCCTATCAAGTTACACTGATTACATGGACTTTATGTCTTGTCTACAAAGGAGGAAATATTGTATCTTATGCCTTATTATAGCTACAGTATGCACTAATGTTGTTGTTGTGACACCACCAACTTTATAATTGTTTAATATACTGTTTCTACTACTGACAGAACCAATGGCTTGCCCAAGGTAATCCAGCAGCTGCAAGTGGGGAAGTGGGGAATCAAACCCAGTCCTCCCAGATTAGAGTCCGCACACTTGACCACTACACCAAACCACTAAAAGCCCTTGGTGGGTACCATGTTGGGAACTGCTGTTATAAAGGAAACGAACAAACCTGGGAAACAAACAGAGAGAAAACGGGTGGGATGAAAAGACTAAAAGGAATGACTAGTGGCACACTCCTACATCCTGACATCCCTACACTGCACAACACTCAGACTTACGTTTTCACATAGGGATCCGAGTAGCCGTTGGCATCCATGGCCGCCAAATGCGCGCAGCGGACGATGCCCACCAGCAGACCTTGCTTCTGGGAGCTGTACTTGAGAGAGATGAGGATCCGGCCACGCTCCTCCAGGGACTTGTCTTCTGTTTTGTCTATCTGTGCAGAGAAAAGGAGAGGTGGCTCAGATCCCAGTTTCTCTCTGCAGCTGTGCTCTTCTAACAGAACCGGAGCCCTGGCCCCTCCGCTGGCAAATGCAGGACAGCAAAAAGGTCCGGGGCTTCCCAGTTTAGGGGGAAAGGGGACTAACACTGCAATGTAAGCCGATCTACTCAGAATTCTACTGAAGCCTGCTCAATGGGGCTTGCTCCCAGAAAAGTGCTCTTACTGCACTGTAAGTTACGGATGGGTAGGGAGTAGAGATTTACGTCATGGTGCATAGTACAGAGAAAGCAGAAAGAGGGAATTTTTTTCTCTCTTCTCCCTCTCAAAGTCTCAGGGGTTTCTGCATATTTGACTATGCAGGAAAAAACATAATTTGGGCAATTCATTAAAAGAGAGAGGGGAGAAAACCCTGCCCAACGAGGACTGAGCATGCTCTAGGAGGCACAGAATACCGACAGCAGCTGCGCATCAGTTAATGGGAGACTTGCCAGCTCTTAAACTGGTCCCTCTAGCTGTCCATTTAATATCAGCTTAATCTGCTGCAGTTAGCATGTGATGCTATTGAACTTCATGCCATAAAAAGCTTCAGCGGCCCATTTCCAGTAATTAAACCTGTATTAAAGGAGAGTCCCTTGGACTGCAAGAAGATCCAATCAGTCAATCCTAAAAGAAATCAACCCTGACTGTTCCCTGGAAGGCCAGAGACTGAAACTGAAGCTCAAATACTTTGGCCACCCAATGAGAAGGGAGCACTCACTGGAGAAGACCCTGATGCTGGGAAAGATTGAAGGTCAAAGAAGACGGGGACGGCAAAGGAAGAGATGGTTAGACAGTGTCATAGATGCAACGAACATGAAATTGAGCAAACTTCAGAGGACGACGGAAGACCGGAAGGCCTGGCGGGATCTGGTCCATGGGGTCGCGAAGAGTCGGACTCGACTGTGCAACTGAACCACCACAACAAAAGGGACAGGATACTTTGGCAACCCGGGTGGGATGGGGAAACTGACTGAGAACTGAAAGGAGTGTCTGCGACAATCACAACTCTGTTTCTCGCTCCCACACACCTGCACATCTCCCAGTAAATTCCTCTCACGTTCCCGATTTATGGATATTATGGAGTGACGAAGACTAAGGTTGCCAAACTCCAGGTAGCACCTGGGGATCTCCTGCTATTACAGTTGATCTCCAGATGACCAAGATCAGTTCCCCCGGAGGAAATGGCTGCTTTGGAGGGCTGACTCTATGGCACTATACTTGACTGGGGTCTCCATGGCACTATATTCGGTTGGGGTCTCTCCCCTCCCCAAACCCTGCTCTCCTCAGGCTCCATCCTCCAAATCTCGAGGTATTTCCCAAACCAGAGCTGGCAACTCTCACTGGTCATCGTGGTCAGTTTGCCAGGTTCACCTACCTGACCAGCGGGGGGCTCCCAACGTCCTTCCGAGAGACCGGAAATGATGTCGAGGGACTTCTGGTAAAACCACAAGTGCAGGCCCTGGTGCAACAACATCACCTGGAAGTGACGTCATCACGTGGGGTGGTGGTGGTGCAATGCTGTGGCTTTTGGACAAAACTCTATGGTAAATTTGGTTTCAAACACAGTGTTGCCCACAAACCAGAGCGTCGCCTCCGACGTGATGACATCACTTCCATGGACTGCAAAAGGCAGGGGTTCCTCCACCCCCACTGGGGGACTGGGAACCCTACACCATGGATCTATGTAGTTTTGTTTGTTGTTCAGTCGCACAGTCGAGTCCGACTCTTCGCGACCCCATGGACCAGATCACGCCAGGACTTCCTATATTCCGCCGTCCTCTGAAGTTGGTTCAATTTCATCTTCGTTGCATCTATGACACTGTCTAACCATCTCATCCTTTGCCATCCCCGTCTTCTTTGACCTTCAGTCTTTCCCAGCATCAGGGTCTTCTTCTCCAGGGAGTGCTCCCTTCTCATTGGGTGGCCAAAGTATTTGAGCTTCAGTTTCAGTCTCTGGCCTTCCAGGGAACAGTCAGGGTTGATTTCTTTTAGGATTGACTGATTTGATCTTCTTGCAGTCCAAGGGACTCTCAAGAGTCTTCTCCAGCACCATAGTTCAAAAGAATCTATTCTTCGGCGCTCGGCCTTCCTGATAGTCCAACTCTCGCAGCCATACATGACTACTGGGAATACCATTGCTTGGACCATGCGTATTTTTGTTGGCAGGGTGATGTCTCTACTTTTTATCATGCTGTTTAGGTTCACCATCGCTTTCCTCCCAAGGAGCAGGCGTCTTTTAATTTCATGGCTGCAGTCACAGTCTGCGGTGATTTGATGACTAGGGAGCCATGTACCTGATGTTATCTGCAGGTCGTCTTGAAGAAACAGGCTCTGAAGAACTGCTCTTCCAAAAGCAGCATCAGTTTTAGCACAGTGCATCACCACCAGGAACTTCTCAAAGGCTGAAGTCAGTGAACCAATAGCAGACCTGCAGAGATATGTCACCAAGTATCTGGAGAAAGTGGCAGAATCAGGAGCCATAATGACCCTTTCACAGTACTAGCTTGCTTGATACGTTCGCATCAAACTTTAAAGCCAGGCATCTTTCCCGGCATTTGAAAGACATGTTTGCACTCACTGGAGAAAACCCTGATGCTGGGAAAGA